AAGTGTTGATTCATCCAATTCTGCTGTCCAACAATTTTGATGGACTGATGGATCTGTTGGTAATCTAGCTCCAGGACGAGATAATTTTGATGTCATTGTGAAGTTTTGAAGCTTGCGGTCGTGGAACTGTTTTGAAATAGCAACATGTTCAGGATCATCGCAGGTGTCATGCTCAGGTTGACGTGTCCTTGTACATGGCTGAACTACACATTCATCTTTCAAGAGACACTGATGATCTTTACACAATCTATCATGTATGCTTGTTAAGACATTGAGACAAGGGCCATCGGGAATTGGAGAGTTTGATAATTCAGCTATCTTCTTCAATTGTTCACTTGAAGCACTGCAGCACCAATGGCCAATAGTGACACCATCAGTGACACAAGCACGGATTGCTAGATTAATCAGAAGGGAAAGGATTATTATGTCAGAACAATCATGAAAAGGAATAACACAAGAAATTCCCTACCTTTATTTTCATCAGAAACATATAGGCATTTGCCACATGCGTGATCTTTATACTCAGTACCAGATCTTGACCAATAATCAATTTGTTCCTTCATTGCTTTCAAATATCTCTGAGAGTCTATACCAGCAGTTGGAACGGTAAGAACAGCATTTCGGAGGTCAAAGTGATACAATAGACGGTGAATTTCAAGACCATCACGACAGACTTCCGGTGACATTGACGCTCCAAAAGATTGTTCTTCTTTGAACTTTAGGGATTCATCGCTTTTGTGCTGATTGTTATACAAGTTTACAAGATTGAATATTGAGACACTATGGGTTGATTGGATCAGATCAAGTTCTTTCACAATAAAAAAAAACATCAAAAACTTACTGAGCCAACATCTGCATAAAGGAAAAATGCTCGGCCAGGTCCTTCTTCATAAAGTAGTGTTGATGTACTTGAATAACTTCCAGATCTTGTCCCTGAGCTTTGGTATAAAAATATCTAGTACCCTGGTGGGAATAGTATGTTGGTCGAAATGCAGTGCAGCAATCTATCCAGCATCCTCGTCAGTTTTTTGAAATCCCACAGACACAAAAGAAAATACCAATTACCTTCACAATATAGCGAGACAATCCTTATTGATTGTATTCCATCGAGACCATACAGATAGCCATTTATGATATCCTTTGTCTTGACTGGAAGATCCCGAAGGTGATTTGGATCACAGAACGGGCAATGCTTGACCGGTGGATAGAGAAATCGAGTTGGAATCTGACGAGTAAACTGCAAACCAACCCTCTTGACCACTTTGAAAGGAAGGACTAGACATCTTTCAAGGAAAGGGAATGCATGTAACCATAAGTGAGAGAGAGCTGCACGTGGGATTTGGTATTTGAGTGCTTCAAAGAGGTATTCCATATGTGAACGAGTTTCTGATAAATATAAACCACGACCAGCACGCAGGAGCAAATCACCTCCAAATTGACAAAAGCGTACAAGATCTTCAATTTGAAGGTTGTTGTATACCTCGGGAACAGTCTTCAGCTTTTGAACAAAGTCCCTGAAAAACATTGCGGAATTGGGGACGGAAAAGATCAGACCAGTAACAATGATCTCTCGAACAGAACGAACAAAAAGAAGCCCACGAGACTATTTAATCATAAAGGTCTCTTGCACAACTTCTATTGATTGGTTGGATTTATAATCCGATGTCCTGGATAGAAAAAGTTTCATATCGATGAATCCGGTCTGCTGGATTCCCACTTCTTACAAGTTTTGTGCACACTTTCCACTATTGAAGCAGATTGAAGCATTACTTAAAACATCCCAAATACCAAATCCGAGCATTGAGCATTATGATTTAAACCATACAATTTAATACTGAGACTTTTCAATCAATGTGCCCAATTAATGGAGATATTCGATGAGCTTGTTGAGGGTTCATTGCTATTGGCTCACTGCCTTCCAACAAACCCGGAACAGCATATCTGATCAAAATCAAAAGCCTTATCTCAAGTCCAGTTCATTGTTTTTGGCTCACTGCCGTCCAACAAACTCAGAGTTAGCGTATTCTGATGATAGGCTTGTGATATGGTGAATCAAAAAATCCGCACTTCAATGGTCTTTATATATCTTTGGGATGGTATCAAATCGACTTATAAAATTAATTTTTGCTTTTAATCGAAAGACTTAAAAGCAATTAAAAGCAAGACAAGGTCATTGAGCAACACCTAGCATAAGCATTGAATCACGAAAGGAAATGATTTGCATAATGAAAGCTCTCATAAGCAAAAGGATCCAAACCGTCGAAATGCAGGTATTCCTTCAAAAGCCTCCAAAGCAATCACAAGTATACACTTTTCGAATCAAAAGAAACGTGCACAATCAAAAGTGAGTAATTAAGTACTTTTTTTGCTTTCGATTGCAGCTTCTCATGTAGAATGAAATGTGTTCTTGCTTTCAATATAAAGAATTGAAAGTTTTCTTTTCTTCTGGATCAAAATGAAAAGAACAAAATCAAATCAATGATCATGTTCCCTTCTTTATTATCCAATCAAATTAATTAGATAATACATGTGATTATCTAAGCATCGATTATCTAATTGAATCGAATGCTTTCGATTAAAAGAATTGAGAGCTTTATCAACTCCTGATCCAAAAGAAACCACGACATTGAATCAGTCATCTAATCAAACCAATTATAAATCAAAGTGTATATATCCTGTTTTATGAAGTCCTATGTATCGGCACCACAGGAGCTCAACAAAGACAACCGCACTGTGACTGTTTCATTTGACTCTCACTACTCTCACATAACGTATCTGATACTTGTATCAATACAGATACCTTTCTTAGAAAACTTCTCAGACGAAAAGCGATCTTGAGCAAAAAAAAGCGCCACTGGAAAAAAAATTAAACCAAAGCTGTACGACTCACCCCACGTCTCGCGCTTGTCTCGCAGAAGGGGGGATACGGCTTCCTACCTATAACTTCCCCCAGAAGCTTTTTTTGGCGAGAAATGTATTTTGCACATCACACTTGTCATGCCTACACCAGGGGGTAAATCACACCGCGCAATTATGGTTTTTGGAGCCGTTCAGAAACGTGTCACTTTTAATTCAGTCAACATGATGGTTTTTGGAGCCGTTCAGAAACGTGTCACTTTTAATTCAGTCGACATGTTTCTGAGACGTTTTCAAAGGTTCTGTCACAAAGGCGGTTCCCACCACCGCACAATGCGGTGGAAGGAAACTGGAGTTGAGCAGTCTCATCACAGTTCTTGCAACAATTTGTGGGACATTCTGGAACGGTTCTGTTCTTCGAAGGCAAGTTCCAAAATCGCAGAGACCGAGCAGACTTGAACCCCTGCCCCACCAAAAGAGATACAGTTGTCTCTGACATAACCCATCTGCGCTGTAAGCCATACTCCATCAAAACCCATACAAATCTGGCCATCTGCAGAAAAATTGCAGGGAAGGTGGGTACATAACCCATAAGGTTTTTGAGGGAAACCAGAGATCATAACCCATAAAAGCCAGGGGTCATTTGAAAAAAAAAATGACTGAGGAAGGCTTAAAAAACTCTAAACATAAAAATTTACAGACAAACTCTATTGATGCTAACACTATTCAACCTTATTTAACTTTCACACACCTCACATCACAAACTCAATTATATTATACTTCCTCCAAACTTGTCCAAATACATTGTGGCCAATATTGAGGAAGGTTTCAAGAAATTTGAAAATATGCAACAAGAAGCAAATGAAAAAGAATCTATAGTAGGAAATATACCTTCACCACCACAACAAAGCCCATATATCATGCTATCTTACTTGGAAAGTGACAATGCACAAGAAGTGCAGGGGTATGAAAGGGCCATCCAGCCTCTGTTAGACACTGCCAATTGCTACGTGTTAAAGCTTCAAAGCAGCGCAGCAGACTTTTTCTGATATGTTTTTTAAGGTTTCCCAAGAAGTCAATTTTTTGTTTTGTACAATCTTTGTCATAACCCATATTTTGTCTGCAAATATATAATTATGGCTTTTGAAAGAGATTGAGGTAACCTATACTCTAGCAAAACCCATACTTTTGGGCAACATTTTTTGGGTATGGGTTATGTCAGAGATGATGTACGGCTGTAGACCAGACTCCTGCACCACTGCACCATCAGGGTCATCCTCAGTGAGCTACACTGTAAAGCTTTATTATCTCTTCAAACACAAGAAATCCTGAATCTAAAGTGTTAGAGAAATGATAACCATGTGCTTTCAGATTGTTGTTCCACTCCTTGGATCGGTGAGGTAAGTTATCTTTAGATAACTCTATACCTTCACATTCAATTCCAAGTCCAGTAGGTTTTGCTTTAGCTTCTGACGTCCACACATACTAAAAAACCAAACAAAAAACTCAAAATCTCAGTGATGTGATTGACTCCAACATTTTCAGAAACCGAATGAAGATACAAACTTGCAGGATGTGGTGCATATTGAACACCTGTATGTACTTAAACTTACCTAGTGTATAGGATGATACCAAAAGCTGTATCAACGCATGCAGTCCAGATTCCTCCCTATAGAAATGCTTAGTTAGCTAGTGATCCCTATGGTAACCTCAGACAAAGGCTAAGCTATCATTCTCTAAGGGGGGACCCTTGAGGCACTGTTGCAAAGTCACCACCCTTATTACATATCTTACCACCCCAGCCAAATTTGTCACCACCTAATCAATATTTCACCTACTCAACTTTGTCAAATCACAACTTTGTGAAAGTATCACCACCACATCCTCATTTCACCACCTCAACTATAACTATATTACAACCTAATGAAACTCTCACACCCCAATATCAGATCTCACCGCCCAAGCTGAAATTTCACCACCCACCCCAGCCATTGAAATCTCACCACATGTCTAATTATCACCACCTAACAATAATTCAGTCACACCTAACAATACCTCATTCAATCAATTGAAACTTGTAACCAAATTCCACTTCACCACAACCTTCCAACCACTGACATCTTAAAGAAAAGAAACCTCCCACCCTTATAATTCACATCCTTTGACTAACTCATCATGCAACCCGGTCTTTGCAGTAACCCAACTCATACTGTTGCTTCACCCCCAGTCTCATCATCTGATTCGCCCCACGACGCCTCAGGTTCTGAACAGTCTGATAATCACTATCAACCTCCTCCGCAACGCCAAGGACAAAACACAACGGCCAAACGTGGCGGTCATACTGGCTCTTGCGGTGGTGGACGCAAGATACCTAGAAAAGATCAAGGACCCGAGGAAGATACCAACATCACACTCCCCAAACCATCTGCCATGTCAGAGGACAAACTAGGCAATCGAGTCAATTGTCCAACCATAGACAACTACCGGCAACTAGGGCTCCAATGGGGACTACCGCACGCGGAGCACATACTATCCAAGATGACCCTTCCTAAAAACAACAGGCCTTCTTCCACAGGACTCTTTGAAGCTCAAGCATTGCAATCAATGTACCAGTTGGATAAGACAATGCTTTGTATTGTGCTTAAATGTAGCTGTCACATACTTGACGAGGCTTTGTAAGTCCTTTCTTGATCTCTCGCATGACGCTTCACTGTATGTCTTCATAACTCAATTCATTCCCAACACCAGATTGGAAGGGCCGCTCGCGCGTGAACCCAACATGTACACAAACTATCAAACCTACAGTGTCGTGGCCACCCAAACAAAGAGTAAGCAAGCTGAAAGTACCCTAACCCATTGATTTGAACTCCCTCCTGATTATATTTGATGTACAGTGCCTTCAAAGGGGGTATCAGAAGGGTTCAACAAACGTAATGTTATTGTAGGGAATACCTGGTCCTCTTACACAGAAGAAGAACAACAGGTTTTCAGTCCAAAATTATTTGAACGGCTGTGTGTAGCAACCAGCAAAGCGCATGCACTCACCCAAACACCCCATGGAATACCGAGCATAGCAAATGGAGACACCATGGCCACTCCTTCCCCTGAAGACATACCCAACAAATCCGATCTCCAACCACTCAGTGAGGAAGAGCTTGTATACTACATTCCTCTCTTCAAGTGCCTTGTCAACTTGGGAAAAGTCTTGGGAGATTTGCGTGAAGGATGGCTATGGAGGCACAGCACCAAGTCTCGTATTCGGACTCGTGAGCAGCTAATGCAGCTCGAGATCAATAAGGTTGCCCATCAAGTCAGTTATATCAAGCCCTCAAATCTGTGCCCAAAATCTAACTTTTCTATGCCCAAAATGTAATTTTTTTTCATTACCGACAGCTCAACCATCTGACAAAGCAACTTAACCTCCAATTCCACCTGTTGCTTGCATGCTGGAACCCTGGATCATCAACCAAACAGGCCTTATTCCAGGACGAGTACACATTATGTGAACAATGGGCTTGCCTACAGACAATACCGCAAGAGCACCGCACTATGTTGCAGTTGTGGTGCGGTTGCGTAGCACTTTTGGGCGCCACAATAGCAACGCAATATAGTGCGGTGCCAGCGCTCCGCAATCAGGGTTCAAAAAACCCCTTGGTCAGAAACCTGCACCGCAATTGCGGTCGGTTTTTGACGGTTATTTAGGGCAAATATTGCGGAAATAGGGCAATATTGCGCATTTTCCGCAATATTCGCCCAACCGCTCCGCAACGGCAAGTTACAAAAAAAACACCCCATTGCGGAGTGGTTGCGTAGCGTAATAATGCGCCGACTGCGCAACGCAATGGAAATAGGTCGAAATCCATTGCGTTGCGTAGCGCTTGCGGTGTTCCTACAGAAGAAGAATCATCTTCTTGAGTGCTTTGCTTTTGACTCTACGAAGATGCCAGTGCACCTACGCCCCAAACAAGACAAGCCGAATCCTCTGTCAGACGCCGGAATCCGCCAAGCAGCGAAACACACCGAGCTCACCCAAGCGCTCAACAGTTTGATTGGTTAGTTTCCTTTATTACTAATGCCGTGATTGTACGTTGATGGCCAATGACTCACATTTGTTTGATTCAACTCCAGACCCATTCCTCTGTGGTGGTCACCAAGGAATGGGTGATGCGCATCCCAAAATGGCAAATCTGAAAGAAGCATTCCACAAAAAAACATACCAAGGCAATGTCCAGCTCATGTTTGATTGCATGCCTGAAAGCCTGGTCACCGATTCCATGATCGCCAAGGGGGCTAGCAGGTTATCCAACAATTAAGTCCAATTTTGGCTTGACCACATCCACGCCAAACGGTACACCCTCATCTCAGCGAAGTCTAAGTCAAATCCAACGGACAACACTATGCATCCAGAAGAAGAGCTTGAAGCCCTTCAGGAACCCCCAATGCAGTCCAATTCAACGGCTGAGACTATGAATCAAAAAGAACTTGAAGCCATTCAGAAACCCCAAGTTGTAGAGGACCTTGAATAATTCACAGCAATTTGCCAACACACAGGAGAAATTGTAATTGATTTTGAACCCTTACCTGCCTTACCTGCTATAAATCAGCTGTTACTTTGAGATTCAAACCGTTTCAATGATTTACCTAAGTCCTCCACATGACATTCACGGACGGAGCAACTTCAAGGCTCAACCGCCCAGAACAGGTCCATTGTACAACGACTGGACCCATGGCAAATTCCACTGATGTGAAATGTCATCTATACAGGGAAAGGCATGATTTTTATGTTCTAAACGTTATGAAAGTGAAAACCCTACATCAACAAATATCAAACAAAATCAATTCATAGTTTTGCAATTCATTTTTGTATTGCCCCGTAGTCTGAAAATTAGGTAGTTTCAAAATACCAGGAAACTTTGTATTACCCAAGACATCTCAATCAGCTGATTGTCTTCCTCTTTTCACCCACCACAGTGTTACGATGATATGACTTACAACGATTAGAAACTTTTATCAATAGGCCATAGCTTTTGGAATTCCTTCGCTACCTTTTGAAATTACAGTTCCATTACCATGCACTGTTAGGATTTTGCTATCATCGTCCACATAGGTTTTGCTGATCAAGCTCTGCTCAAACAAACTATGTCAAGTCATTCGGGCAAGCAGATTTTTGACCCAACATCTTTCAAAACCTGACCACCGGACAGATACGGAATCGGAACTGGCACTCAAATAATCCCATTTTCTCAGGCCACCGAGAGGCCAGAGCTAGATATGAAGAAGATGATGATGGGTTGTCTGCTACTACTTACAACTACCCGCAATCAATCGTTCTCTTTTTGAATTGTTTTTCTCGTTTCTTGTTAACTTCTTTAATCAACAACATGAAGAAAAAATTAGTATTTTCGTGCTTTTTATGATATTCTTCTGTTTTGTGGCCTTTCTTTCTCATCTTTTGATGTTTTCTTATCTATTTTCTCTCAAGAGTGTTGCTATTATTTTACTTCTTTTCTTGTCTCTTGTTAAGAGGTCATTATCATATCTTTTTTTGTTTTTTTTCATATTTTTAATAGAATAGGCTGCGATGACCAAAATCTGGCCTTGAGATAGGCATCGCGGTACGCTTCATTACGGCACAACCGTACCAAAGTGAGCATTTTGCTATGGTGCTCCCCCACAACGTTACGGAATGGTTAAGAATTGATACGGTTGACCGTAACGTTATGGGTTTTACATAACGTTACGGCGGATTACGTTGAGATCCGAGCGTTGTGGCAGTGGTTTGTATAACAATTTTATTCGTGAGCTATACTGGTCAAGGACGTCAGGTAGCTTACCATCCTCTATCAGAGCTAAGAGGTTAGAATCACGACAGAACTGTTTGAGGAAGGTGATTTTGATCTCGGCTATAAAAGGGAAAACAGAACTTGTTAGCAAAAACAAGTACCACAAGTAGACAAAATCCAACAAACTAATACTAACTGATATGATTATTGTGACCGGCTTTGAGGATCTTACCCATGAGACGCTCAAAGGGGAACGTCCACCACGCCCGTACTGGGCCAAACCTTTCAAGGCAATCAGCAAGATGGATAGACTTATGGTGATTGGGGGCCAGTTTGCAATGCTGAAAAAGTAAGGGGGAACTTTCAAGATACTTTTGAACATGGTAACGGTAACCTTTGATATGAGATGTAGTCATAATCCGCTTGAGACCCAAGTTGAGAAGAAATACTAGGTGAATGAAATTATTGAGGAGAGACTTTGTTACATGATCTGGGTCGGACCACAATGGAATAAGAACAAGTGGGAGCTGCAAAGTCAGCAGGCTTCTGCATTCATCGGCTTTCAATTCCCCAAACAATGCTTTCCTAAAACTGGGATTGGGCGCTTGATCCATGTTGGAGTATGTATTTTGGGAAGGATTGCATTTATGTGGCGAAGGACGGTAGCATCAAAGATAACCTCATTGAGGGGTGGAGGATGCCATTCACCCTGGCACCCAGAGTCACCAAAAGGGTTAAACTCTTGATCGCTTGAGGATGTATCATTCGAAAATTCAGTATGATTGATAGAAATCTCATTGGTCTCTGGGTTCTTGTGAGTTTTAGGTGCTGGTGATTGATTTTGAGATAAGGGCTCCGAATGCCCAGCAAGAAGCTTCAACAATTTGGTGGTGCTGATCGGTGGTAATTTTTCTTCATCATTTTCAAGGTCTTTCATTGACCAGAAACGTTGCACGTGCCATGAAGATAGGCCCAGAAGAAGATTATGCATCGAGTCAACAACCTGATATTCGATTCTATTCCAATATTCTAATTCTATGAGTACTGAATACCGCACTCCGTGAGTCTTGAATATTTTTTTTCACTCCTTGACTGTTGTTGCATCACAAGCCTCACACGCCCATTTCATATGCTGACACCATGTACGCGGTGGCCACGTACTTTGATCAAGGTTGTTGATTTCTTGCTTAGTTAGAAGACAAAACGAGCAAAAGAAAGTTGCAGTGGCGCTTGGGAATCCAAGACACCGACGGAGCAATGGTATATCACCAACAAACACCAAAAGTGCAGCTCTAATTAGATGTCCATTGTTGTATTCGTGAGTCTTAGAGAGAAGTAATCCGTGTGTCCATAGATGTTGAAGTTCAGTGACAAGCGGCTATAGAATCCAATTCATCTGTTCAAGCGACGGTGCGCAAGGGCCAGGAGCAATTCCAACAGCAAATACATTCTTGGCTTGATGTTGGAGGTCGGGAGGCAGACTAAGACACACTAGAACGATGAAGGTAATTGATGTGTGATGTCCGCTTTGCTTGTTACCAAATGGATTGATTGCATCAACAAAAAGTGCAAAACTTAGATTACCGGAGTCAGCAGTAAATTGATGTCCATCAGGTCCTTGGAACTCTTTCCATATTTGAGACTGATATATGTTGTGAATTTCAGCATCAGGATTGAAAGGCTTTGATGATTCCAATGATGTCAATTCAAGATGTTTTTTGATCTGAGGGCGAGATAGCAGTTGTGAGATCCAACTGGACAAGCTCTGGAAAGGGTAACGGCAAACTGGTTTTTCCTGACCACGGACATATTTTATTAAAGGCTTGCTGCGAGGTCTTTCCAAAAAAT